TTACTGCAGCTGTTTACTATACAGATAGTCAAGTCCTCGTGTAGAGAAATTCCCACAACGTCAGCATTGGCTCTATTCTCACGTAACACCTGAGCAGATGGATGCCCTTGTTGTGTCAGCTTAGTCTCAGATATTTTATATACAAAGGGAACTTAAAGTACAACATAAGTTAATTCTTATCCTCGCTCTAGTGTGACGTTTTTATTTAACAAAGCTCATGGCAGGATAACTAGTGCTTTTCATATAAAGTCCAAATAATATGTCTCAAAGGCATACACCTCCCTACTTGCTGTTTTCTCAGTCACACGCCAGCTTCCCTCAACCTGCTCTCCTGCCCTTCCTGTTATTGTGTCATCATCATAACACAGCTTCAATAACTACAATTACATGCATCTAGTGTTGTAAACAATATTAAAAGGTTCCACTCTTAAAAGTATTACATTATTTCAGCAAGTTGTGCTTTCTACAGTTACTGTTGTGTATACATTTACAATAATTGTGTGGGGATTTGTTTCCGATTCACTTGTCGTTCAAACACAAATATCAGTATATGATATTGACCACATTTTATTGACAGATTTATTTACAACATGTTTGCGGGAGCCGATGGTAATCCAGTTGGAGCAGGATTAAGAACAATATTCCCACAAAGGGCACTTCCCTGTTACTTCCTTGTTTGCACTTACTTCCCTAAATGGACAATGTAAAGCCATTTTTCCGTCAGTCTTTTACTTCTTCTACTTCCTGCCATGCCAAAGCTGAAAACTCTAGCTCTACTGATGTGTACCAATGCTGCACCATTTAACTATCATGGCTTTACACTGCATTAGAAACAGTCAGAAAATAAAGTAAAGCAACAGATACATGTAAGGCTTAATGTTCTTAAGTTAGTGTCTGTAACAAAATAATCAACAAACAAAGACGAATGAACTGGTTCATATGATCTGTCACCAACCACATACACAAAGCATTCCTTATTCTAACCTCCTAAAATAAATCTCTTAATGGAGCTCAGGAATGTGAGGAATCTCTAAAGGAGTGTTCGGAGTAAACAGGTGACCTTCTGCATGTACCGTGGCAGGACTGTATGACCTCATTAGTCTTTCCATCACCTTATTTCCATTTACCCAATCCAGTGGCATTCCTCTTCAAACCAACTCTAAAGCAAAGACAGGAGTTGACCGGCCAGAGTTGCCTCAGAGAAGCCGGCCGTTTACTTTGACACAGGATCGAGAAACTGACAGCCAACAGGGACATAAATCAATGTCACACAGGTAAGCCGATGAGGGTGTAGGGAATTAGACAAATGGAAGCAAATGATCTTGCGAGGACAGATCATCTCAGAGCTTTGGCTCAGGATGAAACCTTGTCCAGGTAATCAGAGAAGACAATGCACAGTTAATGGGTTTACGACTGAAAGGTCCCAGAGGCCGGAGTTTATCGCTCCAAAACCTGCTACTGCGCATTTCCCTCTTAGGTCAAACTCCATGTTTACAAGAACGATTCCCACAAGAGCAAAGGGTAAAGTAACCCCATACCGGTTTTGGATGCTCACCCTCAGGGAATCTAAAGCAAACACAATGAGAGGTTAAGTTGTCCGATGTGTTAACAGCAGGTTACTTTGTCAGGGATTTCTCATATCAGAACTAATTAAAGTTGGTCAACTTCCCAAAAACATATTATCCCAAAAAATTCCCATTTTGAGAGATCGATCCATTAAACAATTCAATTACCTTTAGTTAAAAGAGAGATGTGTAAATGCGACTTTAACACAGTAGTTTGGGTTACACGTAAGCATTGAGAGATGGAAAATATCTGAGTAAGTTGCATTCTGGTAAAAAATAAATGAGGTTGATAAACGTCAGCATTCCTTGCTTTGTATCGATGTGTAAAAATACATTTAGAAAAGTTTGTTCATATCGATGAATCTGCAGATACTGTATTTTCTAAATTAAATCATTTCAAAATTAACATAACATGGCGTGTTTCATTTGTTTTGTTAATGAAATAGAAAAGCTTGCTAGTTTGATATGAGTTTGATCATACTAGTCTCATTTGCACACCTCCATGTGATCCATGGTACCAGTGCCTCTGAACGAGGAGCAACAGAGGGAGAGGACGGGTCAGGAGAAACAGAACCCCTTGTTCCTTGCTCACTGTAAACGGTCCTGGCATGGATTTTAATTAACTGGCACTGGGCCTGCCATACCAGGCATTTAGTGGGCAGGAGGCCACACTGGCATCAATACAGATCATCATCAGGGGCTCAGCTGGAGGCATTCAATTTTCTTGGCAAGTGTGTTGCATTTGCAGCGTGTCCTGCTCCTGCAATAAACCTCCTCTGGATGCATTTTGGGAGTCGCTGAGCTCCTTCTTTAACCGGAGGAAGTGTCTGGTGAGGGGTTTGAATGCAGCACCAATGATCTGCATGCCACGCAAGACACATTGATTGATGAGGGCCCAACAGCAACATATGTTAATACCTGACACATGAGTCACGTTAAACAGTTGACATTTTCGGCTTTGTATTGATGTATTTCTGCAACCTTAAAGGTCCCATGTCATGGCCATTTCTACTGATCATAATTCCATTGTTGAGGTCTACTAAAATAGATTTATATTGTGCAATTTTCCAAACTCACATTGGTTTCTCATACAGCATCTCTGTAAAGTATGTGTATTCACCGGTATTCACTCTCTGTCCTAAACGGCTTGTTCGAGCTCCTGCCCCCCCTCCCTGTGAGCCCAGTGTGCTCTGATTGGTCGAGAAGCTGACAGGCTCGTTGCTGCTCGCACACACCCAGACACACACACTGTTGCGGCGGGCTGCTGCAGGAGCAGACAGGCTTGGCGATACAGCTAGAACAAGCTAAACTCATTCTGAGCACACACAAACGCTCACAGCCGAAGTAAAAACAATAAGTGTGGCTTAATATTGAGTAAGAAAAAGGTTTATAACGCTGTGAGCATGGGTCTGCAGAGAGCATTTCTCCGCGATCCCAACTTAGTAGTCTGAAAAACGTTTACCCATTTAAACAGTCGTGGTAGATACCTTGTTTGTTTTAAACATCATAAATACACAAACAACAATGAATACTTACAGGTTGTGTACCCGAATCTCCCGCTGGTCCAAACAAAGTAGGAATAGCATCGTTCTTCAGTGCCCTACGCTGTACACATCCGGCATGAATCGCTGAAAGGTTTGGGAAGCTTTGTTTCGTGAAAGGCTGGCAGAGGGTGTGGCCTCTGGGTACTGTGACGTGTGACACGTCACAGTACCCAGGAAGAAAATGAGAAATCTCCAACGAGGCGTTTTGGGGAGGTATTTTCTGTGTTAGAGTTTTACTCGCTACAGGGTGTACTTTGAGGGTTTTGACTCTGCAGACCGTTTACATGCATAAAAACCTTCATAACACACAAGGGGACGGGTAATAACCGGAAAAGCATGACATGGGACCTTTAAGGCTTTTACCTTAAGTCAATAGATTTAAAGAATATTCATTGCAGCTGCACTCACAACAATGATTAAAAGCTTCAGAAATCTACTTGTTTCAGTAATTCTTATAAAGGGAATATGTGGCAAAGTGAAGGAGAAGAATTTTATAGCCTCTACCCGTTGAGGGAGGTAGCCTCTAAGCTGACCTTGGCAGAGGAGAAATACCTTATCTGTCTTCACAGTTTACTTTCTCCTACAAAACTCTGAGCCTCACACTGCTTGTTTAACTAACCAAAAGTAGCACAATTAAGTCCAAAGATTGCATAACGCAGTCTACATACTGATGCTTCAGTCAATGCTGACGCTGTTGTCTATGCATTCACCACAACCACAGATGTGACTAAAAACGTGTTTATACATATTCATCTTTCCAGCATAACTACAAGGATGGAGAAGACGCAAAAAAAAAAAAAATCAGGTGGGGCCTCCTCGGTCTGTAAAGCAATTAGCAAAGACTGCACAAGCGCTGGCACAAAAACAACCTGAACACTGTGTGCCCTTTTTCTGTTTTTGCATAATTCTACTCAGTAGGACATGGTTTTGCTGGATGATGTTGTTGTGTCACGTCTGACAGCATCAAGGTTTGACTAATGAGAGTGTAAAACTAAAGAAAGTACTTACAGTGGGGGGGGGGGGGGGGGAACTGTTTTCACAGAAGAGAAAACAGGACTGGTTTAGTTTATTGTGCTGACATACGAGTGCAAATGTGCAAGCTCCAACAAGAACCCAAAGCTCTGTGAAAAGTGTGTTGCTGCAATATCCATGGGAGCGTGTGAATAATAGCTTTTTGTTTGTGTTCGCTTTGTGTGTTTGTCGGGTTTTACTTAGGTTGTTCACTGTGTAGGTGAACGTGTGTGGCGGCAAAAAGGTTCAAACTAAATAAACCGTCCACCTCCAAGTATGTCCGGTGTGGCCGCCAGAGTGCAACACTTAACCCTCCACATAACCTGAAGACCAGGTAAGTTAAGTGAAGGTATCACAGAACAGGACAGACAAAGCGAGCTGCAGGTCAGAAGGCAAGTGGATCAACACACATGCCTGGGAGCCAAGGAGCAGCATATTCAACTGGCCAAACTCCTCTATATAGAAATGTCTTTAAAAGTTTTATTAAGAGCTCCCCGTTAGCCAAATAGCAACAAATTACTTGGTAATAATGTGTTGTTAAAAGCAAGTATTCTTTAGATAAGATTGGCAAACGTTTTTTGGGACATTTCCTTCCTTGCAGGCACCTATTGGTTTATCTCATGTCAGTGCAAAATGTTAATCAGCTGGCATAGCTGTGAGAGAGGGAATTCAACACAGTTTAATAATTGTAGCTTGTTTTGTTTTTTGTTTGTGTATGTGTCAAGGTGCCAGAGACTCTATTGTGATGCATTCAAGGATGCCCGTGGCGCCAACCATATCTAAACAATTCCAATCTTGTGAAAATAAAATAAGTGGAGGACAGTAATCTATCAATATGTAATTAATGGCAACATCATTACATATTGGAAGTGGCTCTTACCATGATTGTTACCTTGATGATGAGCCTGTCTTCCTGACTTATGTCCTCCCTTGTGTCCACCCTGATGCCCAGCAGCAGGGTGCCCGTCCAAAGCCAAGTCAAGTGCAGGACCCAGACCCAAGCTATGCCCCTTAAAACCGGGATCCTTATTCTTCTTACCCTTCAGCCAGACCAGAGCCCGGCCCAGGGAGTGACTGCGCTTCTTCCGACCCCTTTTGCTGTGCTTCTCCTGGGCAAAAATATCAACCACATCCTGGGGAAGGAGTTCCCCGAACCCCAGCGAGTCACGGTTTGACATACCTCCTCACACTGGAGCTAAGCCCTGAAAAAAAAGAGAAAAAGGGAGAAAGGTCATTATCATCAAAACCCTACGTTTTCTTGCACAGGGGGAGAAAATAATAAAAAAGTATCACACTGGATGTCTTGATTGATTTCTAACGTGTGGCTCCCAGGGGTTTTAATAAATCCAGAATAAAAAGCTTAACTAAAAATGAAACTAAATCTTGAGTTACCAGATCAGTTGATAGCAGGTTATGAAAACCAACCTTGTTGTTCTGTTCAAGAAAATCAAAACAACTGATATTTTTGATTTAGCTGCTGCAAAGAAACCTATTTTAACTCAAGAAGCAACAAATTCAGTGCTTTTACAACAATTACGGTATCTGATTACTGTCTGCCAGGTATGATTGCATATCAAAAAAGTTGATTATACGCAAGCATTCCCGCAAATGATGTAGCGGCTTCCTCTAAACAACAGTACCAATGTTCAAAATTATGGATGATAGAGCACCTCTGCCAAACAGGTTTCGGTGTCAAGTCTTTTCATCTTGAAGAAAAGTCGCTTTTTTTAAATCAAGTTAAAATATGCTTTGGAAAATGCTCGTCATCGTCCAAATCTGATGAATCCAGTCATAAATAAATACAGCTTCCATAGTTTCGAAGTTGTTTTCTTTAGACAACTTATGTTTGTTTGAGTGTGTATCCATCTGTTTGTGTCCGTGGGCACTGCTCATTCAACTCATATACTGAGCCTATATAGACCCCCCCCCACCCCTCCACTGTCTCTAAACCAAACTTCACAGATCTGCAAAGAAAGCTCTGGCACCGCTCCCTTCATTCCATAACATGGAGTCATAATTCACAAAGCCGCACCCGTGAGGCTCCTGCACTTTTACACACAGGCACTACAGCAAACTAGGAAGAGCCAGCGAATAGAAAAATAAACATTCACCAATGTGCATCGAGTTGTTTTTAGCGAGCAGTGCCCATGTTACTTGTTATGTTTCATTGTGTTCCTTAATCTATATTCTGCGTAGCATGAGCTCATCGCCTCCTCCACCCCTTCACCTCGCTGAACTATTCTACTTGGAGGCAGCTTACTCTGGGCTTCTTCCAGCTGCTTGCTTTATTGGATACTTATCTCTAAAATCACAGGCTAAAAGCAGGAGCAAGCTCTTAAGATGACAGGAGTCGCAGCTTGTAAATAAGCACACAAAGGCCGGAGGAAAGTAGGAGAGGAGTCAGAGTGAGAGAATCGTGAATCCCTGTTTGATTTGATGTCAAGAAAGTACAGGGCTGAGAAACACAACCAAACATCTTTTACTTGATGTACTTAAATGCTCCTAACAAGACATGAAGCTAAACCACAGAAACCTATGTCATGTTCTCTGAGGTTTACAAATGTGACTTTTCCAAACTGCTTCTCATCATCAAAGACCGCTGTAATGCCGAGGGGTTAGACGTGATGAGGGGTTAAGGGGCTCTGGTTTGGATGCATTATTTTTAAAAGTGTCTTACATACTCAACATTGGTAATAAATTAAACTTTTTATCAGTCAAATCTTTCTTTATGAAGGCAATTTTGATTGCAGGACTGTTGTGTTGGACTCCTTTAGTTTGGTCAGGTGTAGCTACCTGATCAACTGGCAACTGAGTAACATTTCCAAGGCATAGGCCTATTGGTCCTTACTGTGTGCTTATAATGGAAAAGAATCTAAAGCCTTATGAGCTGTTCTTTAAGGCTGGACTAAGGCAAAGTGATGCTAAATGCTAATGTCAGCATTTCACAATACATTCCAATGCTAATATGCTAATGTTTAGCAGGTATTATCAAAGATGCTGTATAGATATTTAACTTTGATACATAAGATATTTAAGCAGTAGATAGTTAAGCAGTAGTGTTAAACTCCACGTGTCACGGATACAGAAAATGTACTCTCATTTTTTACTGTCCTGTTATAATGTGTAATTTTGGACGTTAGCATGCTAACATTTGCCAAATAGTAATATATAAAAAGCTGAAAGGTATTAGCTTTTCAGGAATTGGATCAGTAATCCGAATTATTAGACAAACTACCATTTTGAATGAGATTTTGTGTTAGAGGAAGAGTTACAAAGATGATTTGACTATTGATTAGACGCTGACAGAAAACTAATCCCCAACTGATTGGATAATCAGTTAATCGTTTAAGAAAACTTTTATGTAAAATTCTGGAAAACATGACATTACCTTGGACTTTAAGAAACTGGGATGGACTTTTTTTCTCTGACATATTGTCGCCAAAACAATCATAATTGGCAAAGTAAAGTTATATCTGGTTCTACTTTGTCTAGAGGAAGAGGTAGGCAGCCTCATATGGGAGGTTTAACATGGGGACTTGAAGCACTAGAATGCTTCTCTAAACTCTATACATATGTGGGTGTTTTTGAAGTCATTTGTTATCTTAATGTTGCCCAGCTGAACTTGTTATCCACTGCTGCACATCTGATAGAGTCTGCAGTGTGTTCGGAGCAGCAAGGAGAAGTAAGTTCTAGTGAAAGGCCAATAACAAGAAAGCATCCATCTTCTCCGAAGCAAAGTACCAGGCCTCTCCCTGCACTAAGCCCCGTGTTTCTCCTGCTCCAAATTACAGTCATTTGGGCATGACTAAGATCTGTGCATCTGTATTGGCTACAGTTGCCAATAATCAGACGCGTCTCTGGGGAGGAGAGGGGCCGCTTCATTCATTTATAGCCTACAGGCTGCTCCGAGTGCAACAACTCCTCGTATTACTTCAATCACAGAGGGACCAGAGTAGTGCTAAGAACTCTGGGACATGGCGGAGAAGGACCACCCAGCAGACTGTCTGCGCAGTCCGGTCACAAGGAGCTGACTCATGCCTCCATTGCTGTGGTTACACATAAAAACCTGCAATTTCAGCCTAACAAACAAATGTAATGAAGTGACGTACACGCTGTACTTCCAAATCATCACTGTTTGTTTGATGACGTCTTTTACATTTTTTCCCCCTTTTTTTTGAACTAATACTCTTTTACTAAAGGAAAATCCCTTGGGTTTATCAAGGTAAAAGGTACCAGTCACAATCCTCTCTGTTAGATTCAAAATCTTTCTTCACGGTAATGCTCAAACACTGACATCCGTATTACAGAGTTGCTTCATTGTCCAAGCAGTTATCTAGCCACAAACCCCAATTCATAAAAGCTGATACGCAAACTAAACGCACAAAAAATGATTTGTTATTCGAGGATTTGTAGCAAAAACATGGTAAAAACCTCCAACATCAATAACCACACTACACCACGTAAGAGTGTATCATATTACCGGAGAGATCATGATCAAGTCATATGCCTTAAGCTGATTGACAAACAAAAAGGTTGTATGTGCTCTCTTTCTCTCCATGTCTCTCTGTCTCTCTTCTCTCTCACACACTAAACCTAAGGTTGTGGTTTCCCAGCCCAGCCTCAGTCCTGCCGGAACAGGCATGTGTTCCAACATGCTGTTTACTTATCCTTTACAAAAGACACCAGGCTTCACATTGGACAGGAGATACCGCTCAAACACAGCAAACCTCAACGCAGTGTGTCAATACCTGCAGCACTGACTGATTATCTGACATTGACAGCAGTGTGTACACATCAGCATTTAGTAAACTGGAGCTGATAATAGTTGATACGCTGTCATCATGAAATAGACTGCGAGTATATCTGGAGGTATTGATTCTGTACTTGTCTTGGAGAAGAGCTCGAGGACATGAATTCCTGAGTGGGTCTTCTTTAAACGTATACACAGGAGGGTCAATAGACTTAAAGCGAAGCAAAGCAGTGACACCTGTCTTGCCTAAAGCAAAGAACAGTGGCAAAGATTACTGTGCAGATCCAGTCTCAAATCCATAGATATGCCAAAGATCACATGGGCTCTACTGTTCCTTCCTTTGACAAACTCTTGTTTAAAAAGAATGAGGGAAAGCCAGTTCTTGTAAGATGTTTAAAATCTACTTAAGCATGAACACACCGTCGACAGTTCTCAAAGTATGTTATTTAGATTTGTTGCGCACATTTAAAGTTAGTTGACCAATGGTTCCTTTGGTCTTAGTCAAACAGACTTTTTAAAATGCTGGATGACTTTCTCCAAAAATATAGAGAACATCTTTGGTAAACACAAGATTTAAAGTGGTGCTTTTGCATGTTCTTTTCATATGATTTGTAGTCAACTAAGACTTTTTTGTGCAAGGACAGACCTACTGACTATGATTGTGAACATTTTTCTGACACCCACTGCGTTGTTCAATGTGACAACCCCATGTGGTAAAGAATAATATTAAGATACAGATTTAAGTCAGACTGCAAAAAAAGAAAAAACAGTGACTCTAGCAAATATGAACAATGAGAATTTCACGGGCAGTGGCGGGGCAGGGTCTCCAGGAACTGTAACTCTTGTCTGCAGTGAGTCACACAGGGAAACTGACGGAGCAGACTTCAATGCCTCATGGGGATAAGGCAAGCCAAGAGGGAGTGGCGGTGATACAGGCAGCCACCTTTGTTTGAATTAGGACCAGCTCAGTTTAACCAGGAGGCCATTCACATCTACACTCGAGCTGCAGGGTTTCACATGGTATGATCCAGCCGTCAGAGAGCGAGGTTAAGGTCGGGCTGAATGTGGTTAGTCTCCCAAAGGTGGAAATAACAGATAACCATGGTTCAGATTCTCCTTTTGAAGGATGTTTTGGATCTGTTCCAGATTTCCTGCTGAAAATAACAAGTAAAGACTCAACAGTAACAGCCAGTTTGGAAAATAATAGTTTTTAAACAAGAATTAAAGTGACTTTGAAACTCAATTGTAAGTGTTGGGGGCAGTGCATAAACTAGTGTTACTGTGCGGCACCTGCAGCCATCAATGAGGGCGTTGGCTGTGCTCTGTAGGCATTATTACACAAAGAAGAGCAGACTTAAGCAACCGTGTCTGGGCTACAGCTCTGCACACTGAAATACACTGTGATGGATGGGAAACAAACTGGAAATACTCAACTCACTATCTTAAAGGAGTTTCGACATTTTGAAGAGCATTGGGGGAGTGATCATGCAACATGGAACAATTCCCATCTTAAAGGGAAGTAGAGAGGATTACAAGAATTAGAACTAATGAGCCCTAATACCTCATGAAAATGTCATTATAACTGCAGGGTTTTAGCGTAGCCTCAAGTTTCCTAAAGTTTGGTTCCATACCAGCGTATCAGCATAAACACGCATTGGTGGTGAAGGTCTTGGACAGGAACACAAGCCCTTACTGACATTATGTGGTCCCTTCGTTTGCTGCAAAACGGATACAGTTTCATAAAAAGACCATGTTGGTAATGACAGTGATCAAAATAAACAACGCAGTAAGACAATAATGACAGAAAATAAACCAAAAACTGTATGTAACTGAACTCACTGAGGTTATGGACACTGTGTGTGTGTGAGTTCATGTGTGTGTGTTAACGCAAGTTGCTGCTCTGCAGGGCCGCTGTAGCCGTGCAGCAGCTTGTCTGGTAAGAGCAGCAGATGCATTCCTGAGAGATTGATAATTGCCGACTGAGGAACTCTTCACTCCAAATCTGCTTTCACCCCCCTGCTCTACCTCCCTCGTTCTCCTGTCTCCCTTTCACCCCCCCCCCCCCCCCCCCTTCCCTCCCTGCCACACATCCCTCTTGCAGTACAGTGGCCTAGGAGACTGAGGGAGCCATGAAAGAAAAAAGGGTAATTGCTGGCGCATGAAAGTCATTTTGAGATAAGATTATAACATGGGGCTGTGTGCACTGGCCAAGATAATCGTTTACTGTGTATTTCCTCTTAGAGAGGAGCGACTAATAGACAGATTGCAGAGAAAATGTGTGCATCAAAGTATAAAATAAACTTTAAGACACAGTTTCCTGAGAGTTTTGGTTATTTTTCCAAAATGTATCAATTTAGGATTACAACTAACAATCATTAAATAATCAATCTGATAATATCTTTATTGATTAATGACTTTATTGAGGTCATAAAATATTGAAAGAGTGTCAGTTATAATTCCCCCATGTGTGTTTTATGTGTCATTTAGTCCAAAAACTGAGATTTGTGTCTGTTTTTTTGCATTCATCTATAAAAATCACATAAGTGACTAATTGATATGAAAACAATTGCTGATTCATTTCCTCTGAAGTAATCAATAGATCGACTAATCACTTCAGTGCCAATATTTGAGCTGCTGCTGATAAACTGTGGATGTCTACAATGCATAAGAAGTACACCTCCCTGGTAATTAATACAGATTTACAAACACATTTTACTGTTGCTTTTAGTAAATATGTATTATATATATATATATATATATATATATATATATATATATATATATATATATATATATATATATATATATATATATATATATATATATATATATATATATATATATATATATATATATATATATATAATACAATCTTGTAGGAATGTAAAGTAAAATGTGCTCAGTTTGTACAATGTCCCCATGATCTAAGTTTGTAGTCTTTTTCCCAAAGTACAGAACAATAAAGCAATATAACTTCTCTCTGGCACTATAAGACACAGTGGCAGAGCTGTTTAGTGTTTTGTTTGTTTTGCATCCAGGGGTTGCCAGGGGTCTGAGTCTGGACTGCAGCCTGTGTGGAGCCCTGATCTGACAGGTTAGTCAGGGGTGAAAAAAGAAAAAGTGTTAAGCAGCGCTGACCAGCCCGCAGCGAAGGCAAACACACCTGGACACTCTGGTTTAAAAAGACATCCTGGCATCTTGGTGTCACCGACAAAACAAAAACTCTGTAGCTGCTTAGAAATCCTTTTAATCTAGTTTCCTCAGTCTGACTGTCACGTGAGTGGACAGCATTCACACAAGAGTGTAGTGCGGGAATAAGAAGTCCAGAACTTATGTGAAGGGCAAAAGAAAACATCAGACAGAATATCAGAAATGAGCAGGCCTTCATGCCCTAATGCCCCCATCAGCTATTGATTTAATTTATCACAAGAGTTAATGAAGATTTACTCATCAGCTAATCCCTCTGATTAACAGGACCACTCATCAGGGAAATGTTTCCTCTCTCTGCAGACCTGCATGACACACACATCAACATTCACACACATAATCATGTGCTTTTGTCTATTACAACACCAATTGTTCCTCCTCTTGACCAACACTCTGCCCTTTCAACCACTGAGCTGCCACTAGGTGAACACAGTACAGAAGCCTACTTGGCACTATGTACCGTTTAAAGAAAGCACTTTCTGGTGACTTCCTTTTCCTGTTCCCTCCATCATCTTTCATCCCCGTCTCTACCTCAAACTTTTCTCTGACTCTCAGGTATCTCCCGGGCTCTGCTGTACCTCCAATGCTTACATAAACACACCTGTAATCTCCATGGGTACAAGCCCTGGCATGGCAGGCTGGCGGAGAAGGAGCACCGGTACGAGACACACCCTTTCTAAACAAATGGCTAAGTCTCAGCCTCACCTAGCAGAGGGTACAAGAGGTTAAAGTGAAGCCATGGAGATAGAAAAAACAACGTTAATCAACCATTGTTTGCTTGAAGTGCTGCAGAGTTTTTAGAAAAGTTTAGATTTGGAGCTCTTGGTCCAAAGTGCAGGGGAGGAGGTGGACAAACAGAGACGAGGAGACCCCCCCCTAATGCCATGTTATCTCTGTCAGGTTAATCAACAAGCAGTGGATCAATGGAAGAGCACAGACTGTCATTGACTGCCATAAATTTAAGTGTCAGAGCTCCATGCTGCAGTCAAACAGTCATTTGCTGCTGGATCAGTGAAGGGAAATAACACAATAGTGTGCATTGTCATAAACTGAGAGAAGCATACAGGTCTTAAATTACCTCTCACTGAGGATCCCTCAAGGCCAAGTTAAGCAAATCTCCCACACCTAGTTTTTCATGCATGCCTATACAAAACCTGGATCTCTTGCCATCCATTTCTACCTCACTTTGATTACACTGTAGAACTTTTGTTTTCACATGTTGGGGCTATTTTCTTTATTTAAAAGCCTCTTCTTAAATGTTTTACAAGGGTTAGGGTTTATTTGTTTTTTGCAAAAACTGTGGACAACTCACTGGACAACATGATGTAACAGCTTCACTTAAAAAAACATCCTCAAAGTTGATTCAGTCGAGCCTGGTGTTAATTCACTGCGATTTTGTAACTTGTTTTTAAAGCATTAAACTCTATTTGTTATATATTTACCACGTCACGCATAGTTTGGGATGCTTTATAAGAAGGAAGGAAAATACATAAATGCTACGAATGACTCCACTTTTAATTAAACAACAACAAAGTAAAAAACTGTTCCTACCTTGATGTACTTGTATGGTCCAGAAGGATTGATTCACCCTCTCTCCATTGGAAGCGTCTCCCTGCTGTCTCCAACTCTAAACTTTCACCGTCCGAAGGGAAACTTCAGGTGAACCATTTCCGTGAAAACGCACTTCAGGAAGCGACTGGAGTCTGGAAGTGTTTCTGCTGGCAGCTACAGGTCCGTGTGTTGCTGGGTGTCAGGCTGAAGTGACTTCTCCCGCTGTCAGTGCCGTGCGAGGACGCTCGGGTGAACCGCATAGAGGGAAGTGGAGAGAAGGTTCCAGGACCTGCAGCTCGCACCTGAAGGAGGCTGGGCGCCGCGGCCAGGTGAGCGCGAGGGGCTGCGGTCAGAGCCGCGAGGACATCTAGTGGCGAGACAGAGGAAACACAGGTCCCAGAGCAAGGGGGAGGAGAGGGTTGTTCCAAACTGAGTTTAGAATTCCAACTTTTATAAATAATAATAAAAAAAAAATTCAACAGAGAGAATTACCCAGAGTGTAGGAATACTCTGTTACAAGTAAAAGTCCTACATTCAAACGGTTACTCAAGTAAAAGTACAAAAGTATTGGCATGTAAATATACTTAAGGTACCAAAAGTAAAAGTACTCATTATGCAAATTGTGTGTCAGAATAATATATTATGTTTTGATTATATTTATTGATGCATTAATGTGTTATCAAAGCTGGTAAAGGTGCAGCAAGTTTTAATGACTTATAGCTCTCGTAGCTTGTGAATTTACTCAAGGTGTAACTTAAGTATGATTTAAGTGTTGATTATATTTCACACCATTAATCAAAATCTGTAAAGTAACTAAAGGTATTAAATGAATGTAGTGCAGGAAAAGTACAAAGTAGCATAACATTGAAATACTCAAGTACAAGTATCTCCAAACTGTACTTAAGTACAGCACTTGAGTAAATGTACTTAGTTACTTTCCACCTCTGTTTTTCAATGAGTAAGCACATATGAATGAGTTGCATTTTGCACATGTTATTGAGACTGTTAAATTATAAATATAACATATCACATTATTTTACTACTGTCTGTACTTTTTTTTATACATTATTTTTGTTTGTTTTCATTGATGCAAAACAACAAATCAGCACAAAACCACATAAAATACATACAAAACGTTGCTAAATTATGACACTAAAACATATCTTTCACATATTTAATAAGAGAAGTCTGTTTTAGCTTTGTGAAACTGCACCTTTCACACAATGAGAAGGTATTAGAAATATGTCCATCATAAATCAACATGTATGTTTAAAAATAATAATCATCACCACTTTTGGAGATGCATGTTGTTATTGATATTTATTGAAATGGGTGACAGTGCTGTTGCCATGGGCATTAATTTAATCATACATATATTATTTCTAACAATCCTGTTAAGATACTCTTTTTACAGGATTTTCTATGTTTCTTTATTTTACATATGAGGAACTTGTCAGACAGAATGCAAAGCACTAAAAAACAAATACTGTATATAAATCATGCAAACTTTATGAGCAGCTGAGCTCGATACTGAAGGAAGCTATTAAAAGACTAGGCCAGCTAATGTTGTCACTTCTGCCAGTGCAGTAGTCTGAATCAAAAAGACATTCATCAACAACTGAAGTATATGAAATATAAATGTTTGTTGGATATATGTTGTGTGATATACTTTCAGAAGTTTCTCCAATTGTATTTGTAATTCAGAATCTAAAAGGAACATCCATTGCTTTGCCCCAAATGAGACTTACCCAAATATTTCCCACATGATGCCCTGTAGTATTTAGACATTTGAATGTGGCTGTTGGTAATTCTGTTGCTTATTAACAGTAGAATGTATGTACATATTGCATACTATCTTGGAACCTCATGTTTCTTTCATAGCTTTTTAAACATTTAATATACTTTTGGGGATAGATTTGATTACAAAGCTACATTCTTCAAATGCAATGGGGGATGCTTTCTCTTTAAGAAAAGCTTAATATTGAAGTAGTCAACAATAATAATCTGTCAACCAATGATGTAAATAGAGTGTTGTTCCTTTCACTTATTCATTCATTGTCTAATATCACAGACTTGTGTGGAATGCGTCAATACATTTGTGGAAAGTTGTTGCTCAAACACTTTTCAGTCGTGATGTCACCACCATCTTAGAGACACATAAAAACAGCTGTATAAATATAACTCTCTCCGGCTCCCAGGCTGGTCCGGGCATGTGTTAGCTGATGAATCCAGAGCATGTAGGCCGGGCCGCCTCAGCGCTGACACAGTTTGTGATCCCCTGTGGGGGTATGAGAGAGTCTTAGATAGAGTTTCCCCTGTGCCTCCAGTGTTATTAATACACATAAAGTGTGCCTCTGTTTTGCAAGAGACAGACACAGTGAAGAGCTGCACTGAAAGAAAAGTGTTTTCACAGCTGTCCGGACTGTCATCTCCAAACAAAGTAAGTAGAAATATAAATTAATATAAATTGTTGCCGAACGGTAAGGTATAGGTTAAGACAATGAAGTTATTTAATGTAAGGCTGTAGATTGTTCGATCATGATTAAATTAACATGTAATTGTTATGCAAAATAGCCTCAAAGGAATTAAAGGGATTTCAAAACCACAATCTAATCAATTAATGTGGTGGGTTATTTGATTAATGGTCATTCATTCCTTCTCCTTTCTTCTTCTAGCTTGTCTCTTGGATGGCCATGGACCAGCAAACATCAACAGAAAATGTGGAAAACATGTCATCATACGAGGACTCACACACAGGGCTTGTAGGGGATGAGATTTGCAGCCATGCTGACTCTGAAACGGAGACGGTCATGGAGGACTTGGGGCAGCTTTTCGACCACTGCATCCAGCAAGTGTCCCACATGGAGGTGCAGCGGAACGAGCTGATACAGGAGCTGCTCCGGCTGCAGGAGCCCATGCTGCGAGTGGTGGGGCGTTTGAGAGAGAAGCTGGTGGAGACGCAGAGGATGCTCACCCTGGCTCAGCTGGATTATGTGGCTGTTTATGAGGAGGTGACGGAGGTGAAGAGGAAACTTTTTGTCACAGCCAGAGACTGCATCCAGAGCCAGGTGACGCTGGCTGAACAACAGTACCAGGTGGCTCAGTCTGCTGTCACACAGGTAGGAACAAAGGGAGGACTGATTTACTGAGGCAGGTTATTGCAGATACTTGAGGTCTGCTTTTTTATTTTAGATCACTAAACAGTTTTCTTTAGATTATTTGATAGTGATCCTTTTTATTTGTTTTAGCTTTTAATGGAACACAAACATGAGGTGTCTTTTATTTTAGATTACAAATAAACAAAAGGCATTTCAGTGAAATACACATTTTACACCAATCCCAAATGTCCTCAAATTAAATCCTAAAGCTTCATCTTTCCATAACAAAGATTTTATAAATAAAATCAAACCAATTCTCTCTGGCCTCAGTCATATCTTTGTACTTTTCTAGCATCTACTCTCAGTGTTTGAAATACGTTTGAATGTTTGTGGGGGTTGAAGTAGAATCACTATAAAAACTACTTTTAGTCCCAAATATAGTCAAGAGGTGTTCTATTTTAAATCTGTTATCCACTTTATGAATTGTGGACAAGTGGTTGATTATTTTTGTAGCAAACACTAAAACCTACCACTAAGTTACTATGTGCAACAACCATGACTCCAATTCATCCATAGGACGAGCTCAAGGCCTACATCCAGAGTCTGACCCAGGAGTTGTCCCAGCTGCAGGAGGCCCAGCAGAACCAGCTGAACACCCTGAGGGACCAGGCCTCCACGCCCCGCAGGCCCAGGGCCATGAGCGACGCCAGCCAGTGCCGGCAGGCTTCTGTCCGGCTGCAGCGGCGGCTCAGCGGCAGCATGAGGACGCTGGAGGGCTGGTACGAGCCGCGGCTCACAGCCCTGCTCAAGAGAAGGCAGTTTGGGGAGGAAGCCTTGAGAAGGAGCAGGGAGCAGGCTACGGATCTGAGGGCCAGCCTGGGGCCCCTGAGAGACGACATACAGAGACTGGAGATGCAGAGAGCGGGTCTGATGCAGAGGGTCACTCTGATGGAGCAGGATAGGGAGGAGAGTGTCACACAACACAAGGTACTCAAGTCAGGTGGGATTTAAACGTATAAAGGATGCTTGGTAGAAGTAAACAAACTGAGAGGATTCTCCATGTTGCAGGAGACTGTGGAGAAACTACAAGAGACTCTGAGAGAACTACAAATGGAGGTTGAGGTTCAAAGAAAATCTAAGAAAAATGTGGAGGATCATAATGATGGCCTTTCAAAAGAACTGATATTCCTGAGGTATGTTTACTATAAGCTTTTTACTGATTTATTTATGTTGGATTGTGAGTATTGACATTTTTTAAACGACTGACAAATGCTTTGTTTTACAGAGGGTGTGATGAACCCAATGGAATTACTGCAAAGGAGGTTCCCTAAATTCCTTTTTCCAGGAGATATTCTTAAAATGATTGCGTACACCATTCCACACTACAATATAGCATTTTATTTAATATGAAATATATATAAATAACTTATGCAGCATAATTCCACCTTGGAAGCCTATATTTGTTTCTACAGACTTAGAATTACCTACCTACCATCTGGCATAGTGTGCCAAGAAACAAAGCAAACTGATTTAATGTAAATATTTTATTATGAATATACTTAAGTACACAAGAGATCAGATGCAACACAGAAAAACAAAAACAGAGAAATAACAAACAAGTTACACACACAATCTGGAAAATGAATTCTATGTATACCAAGCTAATACAAGTAAAACCTATAGTATGTACAATTTTAATTAACAATGGATCTTCGTAGAATCTTTTTTCAGCACAACGAATCAGGATGAAAGAAAGGAAACCATCGAAAAGCAAACCTGAATGTTGAACACAGGTGCGATGGTGTCATCGCGAGCCAAAAGTGAAGCACTGGGACATTGAAAAACAAAAAATATCTGACAAATACAGACTTACTTTACATACCTCAAGAAGAGATGACAATGCACTTTAAACATTTTTCAAAAACACAGCTCCCAAGAAAAAGGATTTTGAGAAAAATGCATATGCACCCAGCACTGGAAAATAGATGCAAAAAGCAGGTGAAATGAAGAGGTGTGGAGAGAATCACGCCTGGACTTCTGATTCTGCGGCGCCTTCTGGGTCCTCATCGTTGTAGATATTTTCAGCCTGTCGAAGAAAGTGTATTCACTGTAACTGGTATTCAATGTTAATAAATTCCCTTCAGAATAATATCCATGCTGTTTCTGATATTTACTGTTCTTTATTAACCCACATCTTTTGATTTACTTCGCCCAAGCTCTTACCATTTGCCAGACTTGCATGATGTTGTCCTCTGATACAGAGCAGATGACCCACGGCTCGTTGGGGTTCCAAGAGAAGTCTGAGATCTTCGCCGTGTGTCCGCCGTGGATGAACTAAAGAGAAACAGAGCAGCATGGGTCAATACAGCATTCTTATCCTCTTAAAAACACATGCAGTAGTTGTTTTTGTCAGTACTGACCAGCAGTTCAGGGGGGCCGTCCTCAGCGTCCTCTGGTGACTGCTCCTCTCCGATCTTACTGAGGTCCCACACATTGAGCCTCCTGTCGGTGCCGCTGGAGGCCAGGATGGTTTCGTTATGAGGAGACCACTGAACCTGTTGGGTAGAGATGGGACACGTGTTACATTTCTGATACAAAAAACCGAACACTAAGAAAAAGCCCCAATCAACAAGGTTTAAACTGATTTGTGTCCACAATGTAACCCTCCAAGGTCAATGCTTAACCTTGACCCAAGATTCTTACAAATCTAAAGATTGACCTTAAACTGGTCAGCAGTATTCCTGTTATAAAGGCTTCTGACTCAAATCAGATGGAAAACAGCTATAGCTTGTTGGATGTCATATGGTCAGATGCAGAAGTGGGATGGAAAGCCAGATATTGCAGCCACAGTCCAAAATGGTTAATGATTGTAGAGATATCTGCCCTCTCTCAAATATAATGGAACTAGGTAGGCATTTGGCTTATTAATGTGCTTTGAGCACCACAAAGACACATTCTAGCTTTATAATATTCAAGAGAAGACAGACATCTCTACAGCCACTTCTTTCTTATAGTGAATGTACCACACATTTTTTAGATTGAAACATAACTCAGAATGTACAACAAACTATTTCAGATGAATTTACATAAACTCATGGTCACTTCTTACCTGGAAGATCTCGTCCTTGTGAGACTCAAACGAGTGCAGCTTCAGCTTCAAGTTTCTCAGGTCCCAAAGAGCCACGGTCTAAAAACACAAGAACTGAGTTTTAAACGATTTAACTCATACTAAATGAGGACAGATCCTTCTTCACTGAACAGAAACATACTATGAAACAGCTCTACAGAAAAAGATGTGGACCCACCTTATCTGCAGAGCCAGAGGCCAGGATGAACTCGCTGTAGGGGTTGAAGGATAAGCAGTTGACCTCAGCAGTGTGGGCGTCCACTGCATGGCTGGGCTTGGAGGTGTTGTTGGACCGCGTGTCCCAGCTGTGCAAAAACAGAAACAAATATATATTAACCTTTTTTTCCTAAGCCATCACAGCAGTTAATGGATTTTGTTACCAACTAAGGGCTGCTCACATCATGAGTTTCATGTCATCGGCCACAGATCCAAAGAGAGACTCGTGCAGCAGGTGCCAGGAAACATCCTCCACCACGGCCGTGTGGCCTGTGAAGATGGTCTTGGCATCCACTACCTTTCCCTCTTTGGGCACTGTGCTGATGTCCCAAAGGCAGATTGTCTGTAAGAGAGAGCAAATATGGGTAAGAAAATGTATTAACAATGAAAAATAAACAAAAAATCCTGACAAAGTTACAAAATGATTTTGAAAAAAGGACAGTATGTGGGCTGACACAACAGAAAGACCAGTTCGGTGAAACAGTAACAGGTTATGTTAATAAGAACACAATTTACATGCACAAAATAATCACTTAACTATTTTTTCTGAAAATGACGTAATGCCTACTACGCTTGCAACGTGGCAATTGAAAGTATTCCCTAAATAATGCCGTTTACATGAAACCAAGCAAAATCTGACATAAATGTTGTTTATCACGTCAAATCATGGAAAATTGGAACAATTGTATGTGTCCAAAGAATGCTATCATATTGGCATTTCCCACATGTCTTCATCAAAAAAGGCCTATTTTGGAATAATCAAAGGGAATATGCCGTTTCCATGACCAGTATCAAATTCGGATTAATGGTGAAACATTATTTAGCATGTACACATACTAAATGATGATTAAAAATGTAACTTGAGCATCTACAAGCGATTTTAGCTCAAAAGAAAAAATCACTACTAGACAGAAGCATTTAGCCATTTTATGAAAGGTTACTTACATGATCATCAGAGGCACTGAGGAGGCAGCCGCTGAGGTTTGGGTTCCAGGAGAGACCATAGCCCTCCTTCTGGTGGCCTCGCAACCGCAGATCTGGGGTGCACTCTCCAGAAGGGTCTACAGTATTCATAAATAAAAGCCAATGTTACAAAATGTGTGCAAAAAGAACGCTTGATGTCAAAAATGTGTTTTGGCTGTGCTCCTACCAGGTTTAGAGGGGTGCTTTGTGTAGTCAAAGACCAGCACGTCACTGGTGGGGGTCTTAGTGGCGATGATGCAAGGGTTCTGAGGCATGTAGCGGGCTCTGTTCACCTCCCCCTCATGGTTTATCTTGATCTCAATCTCTATCTTCCCACTGACAGATCCAAAACCTCCAAACTCTGAAATAGAGGGACAACAGTTATGATTGTTGCAAATGAACAGGTTGAGTACAATTATTTTCTACCGAGTATGCTCCATGAAAATAATGTCTTAAGCATTTTATCAACTAAAATGTTATTTCAAACAAAAATATCAGAAGCAATTAAAATGTCCACAAGAGGTAAATTGGAAACTATTTCATGATATAGAATTACAGTGTTAATATTAAAGTATTGCAATGGCTTAGGAGAAAGTAAATTAGTTTCATCTATGTAATTTGGAAGTTTAAATAACCAGTGGCCATAATTGTACATTTCATTACCATTTTACATAGTTAACCCATCAATCTATTATTTTTATGCAATGAACAGCTGGGCACCCTGTATAATATAGTCTGGTGTTTAACACAACACAGCTTTCCATGCACACATTATCGCTCACCTCCTTTCTCGCTGTCATAGTGTGAGGCATCAAACTGCGCGTCATCATTAGGAAGCTGAACACTAGCAATGACAAGGTGATTCTGCTCATCAGATGTGTGTGTTCCCAAAACCAGCCTGTGTACGCTGTAGTCTTTCCCCTCTGGCCTGTGAAGAGGAATTAATTCAATCATATATTCATTCATTTAAACAAGTCACAATGTTGGTGGATGTACAGGTGCAGCAGATCTCCTCTCACCTGGTGACATCAGGCAGCCACTGGGCGGTGAGGCTGGGCCACTCCAGGGCGTGTGTCATGACCAGGTCGTAGAGGAAAGGCGTGTTCTTCTTCCATATCTTGTACTCCTCATTGATCACCCTCTCCTCCACGGCATCATCAAATGCACCTGCAAAAGCAATATCTTTCAGCATCAGAAAGTCATGTTATAATGATGTCAGACATACAGCATTTAATTATCCTGGACATAATATAGGATACCTTGGTGACATACAAGTTATACCCGGCTCTGCAAAGTCTTATCCTTTTTAAACGTACAGCACTAATATTTGTTTTGCTGGTAAGATGGCGTTGGCAACTTGGCACACTTTTTATTTTTTTATAGAAATACAAATCTAAAAATCCTTATAGTCAGATAAATAGAGTCTGAGCAACATGTTTCTTCATGGGCATCAGTGCCTTAACCTGCACTCATAAATGAAAGCCCGTACATGGCCAGCCTGTTAGCAGCTAACGTTAGCAAACAGCTAGCAGGCTGATTCGTTTTTAACAATGAAAGGTGATGCAGGCTGGCGCGCCAACAACCACCGGTGCATCCTGACTGCTAGTTTCTATAATTCAACACACACACATGCACATATTTAATCAGCTAATTCCGAAAAGTGAACAGCCTTACCCTCTTTATCAGCCATTGTGTCGTTGTTTAACCACAAATACTGGCAAGAAAATAGGAAATAGAAAATCTGTGAAAGAGCGCTCTGTAGACAGCACGGAGGCTTGCAATGGCGCCAACTCCGTAGAACACGACTGGCCAATCAGCATCCACCAAACACCGACCGGAAGTCTTACCCGCAACGTATGACGACATCCGGAAAGCCCTCTTCCGATATATGTTGTACTGTCTGTAGTCACATGCAACATACTGTCACTTGTTTTGGTTATTTTACAAATAGTTGAACAAGTTTACAGCTACAATGGACGACCGAGAGCTAGACCTGACAGCAGCACAGAAAGCTACCAAGTCAAAATACCCGCCAATCAACAAAAAGTATGAATGTAAGTATGAAGTTATGATACATTATGTAACTAGCTTAGCTCGTGAACCTTACTTCAGTGATAGAAACTCTTCATAAACAGTCTCCAACATGAGCTTACTCTAATAGATGTTATGTACTTATCTCAATTAGGTGACATAAACTATAAATATGTCCAGTTATATTAGAAGTGCTTTTCCAGGACCATAAGTCCGAGATCACAAAGCTGCATATGGTATTACTTGGTTTCAGCTACATACGCAGTTCCCTGGAGTAGTATGCTGCTGGTGTTCCTCCTACTTTTTGATAAACGCAGGTGCCTCTTCAAAATAATAGGCCACTGTAAGACTGACAGAGAGAGCACATAGAAATTAAAAATGTTGGTACTCAAAAAAACTAGCATGACTACACACAGATTAGCATTGCTAAAAACAAACCAGTGTCTCTGTAGTAGGCAGTTACCTATAATTGTAATCTTAAAAGCATTAATCCAGATGAGTAAAAAGTAGAATATATGCCTCTGAGATTTAGTGGAGTTGAAGTATAAAGTTGCTTAAAATGGAAAAAAGTGCATATAGATGTACTTGGTTACATCCGACCACTAATCATGTCACCATGTGTTTTCGTTGTTACAGACCTGGATCATACAGCAGATGTACAGTGAGTGTGTTTTGATATCTTTGTCAAGTGTTTGTCAGATCTTTGTTGGTCTATCTGTTATTTAGTAGGCATACTTTTATATTTGCTGCTCTCTCTCTTCCAAGAATTCACTCCTGGGGGAACTCTCTAGAGGAAGCGTTTGAGCAGTGCGCCATGGGCATGTTCGGCTACATGACGGACACAGAGACAGTGGAACCGCTGGATACCGTTGATGTGGAATCAGAGGGTGAGGGCACACAGACGGGACAATCGACCTTACTGTTCATTGATCAGTCAGATTCCAGATCACCAAAACTAAACTCTTTCCATACTTTAATCCCTTCTCAAAAGGTCACGACATCGAGTCCCTTCTTTTCCACTTCCTAGATGACTGGTTATATAAGTTTTCTGCAGATCTCTTCTTCGTTCCCAGGGTGAGTATGTTATTATTGGGTGATGGACATTTTTTGCAATAAATGCTATTACTAACATGTATTTTGATTGACAGACCATATCTTGTTCATTCATTTCGTTTTTTCCTGTGTTCCCCTTTTGTCTTGATTATGTGTTACATCTAGGAGGTCAAAGTTCTGCACATAGACAGAATAAACTTCAAGATCCGATCCATTGGGTAAGTTAGTTTACCTCTTCACATTTACACGAAGGGTTACAGCCTAACAAGAATATGTATAATGAACCAGAAATCTCTCAGTTTTCGAGATTTCAGTATTGGTTCACAAGACCCTCCCACCCCCTTAGCTTATTTGTAATATTTTTCACTATCTAATCTTTGTTATCTTTTTAATCTATCTTCTATTCAGATGCTCTTTCTAATATGATATTTTTTTGTTTATTAAAGATGGGGTGAAGAATTTTCTCTGGAAAAACATCCACAGGTAAGAATGGGAAGATTTAAAAATCTGAACATTAAACGTATATATTAAAAGGACAGATGGCTTTACCTTATATTTTCATTCTTATTAATATTAACGACACCAATGCAATATTTATGAAACTTAAATAATAAAAGCCAAAATTGCAGTGCATTCTAAGTGTGATGTCTGTTTTTTAATCCAGGGAACAGAGGTGAAAGCAATCACATACTCCGCAATGCAGATCCACGATAAGGAAAAAGCAGATATATTTGCCATCATTGATATCTGACGATATCTCCAAATGCAGACCACACTCCTGGGATTAAATAACTGAAATATCTACTTGGCCAATTTTAAGCGGCCTTTTTGTTGATGCACTGATTGTTGACTTGGTTTCTACTTGAAAGGAAATATTTACTAAGAGAAGCATTTCAACATTTCTTTTGATACAGGTTCAATGCATACCGCTCTCTAGATTTAAGATTAGTGATATGACACTAATCATTTTATAATTTACATTATTTAACAAACCACAAAAAACATGAAAATAATAGAACTCTTTACGCTTAGTCAAAACTGAAAAGTAAACTTGATTAAGAAAGATTTATTCATTCTTAAAGACATTTGTAAACCAATTGTTGCTTAAAATAATTGTGCAAATACCTGTCATACCATTTAAATGAATTGTGTTGATGCCTTATTATGCATTGTAAATAAATCAACAGATTTTTTATATTTTTCTGCTGTGGGATTGATTAAATGGTAACTGGTATTTAAAAAAAATTAAATCTTTTGAATATTTTGTGGGTGTACTCATTATTCTAAAGGACAAGGGGATGCCTTCAATAAGTCAACATGGATGCATAAGGGATTTCCTTTAGTTGTGTATTGACTTAAGACCAAAGTGCAACCAACTCCGGCAGTGGGTCAGTCAGTAGGGGCTTGGACTGGGAGCTGTAGTGTCACCGGTTCAAGTCCCAGACCAGACCTAAAATATGGAGTGTGGACTGCTACTTGGAGAGGTCCCAGTTCACCTCCTGCCCTGCCGTGGTGCCCTTGAGCAAGGCACCGGACACCCCCCTTCCCCCCTCACTCCCATTGCTCCCTGGGCGCTGTACAATAGCTGCCCACTGCTCCTAGTACTAGACTCCTGGTACTAGGATGGGTTAAATGCAGAGAACAAATGTCACTGTGTGTGCTGTGTGCTCTGCATGTGTGACCATTAAAGAGGGTTTCATCCCTCCCAATTCTATTCTTCTATTTTTTTTTTTTAACTCATTTTTTTGGGGAAATTAATTAATTTATACTATTCTTGTATCTCAGCTGGACAGTTGGACGTATTATTTTTTACCTCAAAGGCAGTCGGAAGAGAACAATACATCTGATAATCGTGATCATCACAGTAAATTATGTGCAGTTATAAGTCAAACATAATACTTTTGTGCACTAGATTATAAAGGAGTTTCATGTCCTGGCTTGTGACTATAATCAATATCAGATTGTTGTGGAGAAAAAAAACAAGCTAATCATAAAGCTGATATTAAAACTGTTAGGGCCATTTGTGTGGGGCCAAGCATTTACAGGGAAAGGTATCAGGGGCCTAAAGACATTATCACAAAGACCAGCCATTGAAACCAATCAAGGATCATTCACCCTAGCTGGGCATGTATGGCTGATGCATGAAGCACATACATGTGCATGTTTAAGAAAGAGAGTGGGGAAACAAAGTTAAGCTCTTAAAAAATTAAGAGACCACTGCAAAAGTATCAGTTTCTCTGGTTTTACCATAGGTATGTGTTTGAGCAACATTTCAATTATTTATTTTATTGTATACTACTGACAACATTTCTCTGCGTTGGAATTCAAAGACACTGGAATGTAATGGCTGCCATACATGTAGAGATTGAGATTTAAGAAAAATGTAGAGTGATCTCTTTTTCCCCCCAGAGCTCAGCTCAGATAATAATAGGATAGCCTACCGGTGTTATATTGGGGAAACATACATTTGCTTCAGTTGAATTGATTTAATAGGATTGAACTGTCGATAGTAGCTTCTACAATTGCTGTAAACCTCAACAAAAAGAGGGTGAAAAAACGCTGAGGGTCAAAATGCTCCCCCGGATTTAGTCCCCCCCCGGTGCGATCTGGTGGTGACGTCACTGTCTCCTCCCGGTTTCTTCCTCCGCTTCAGTGAAATGCAGCTGCGCCATTGCTCCTTTGTCCATTGAAGAGAAGCTACTTGCCACGGAAAGATACCGGCGGCTCTGCAACAACTTGACCATTTATTTTGTTGCACTCGAAAACAGCGTTATCTATTTAGCTGCAGTTTCGTTGCAAGCGAAGCTATCGAACATAGCCAGGCTTTGTTCGTTTATATTTGGCGGTCCTAGTCTATTATGAGCAGTTCTGAGCCCGCCATAGAGTCGAGCTCTCAGAAGAAAATCAAAATGGAAGACAGTAAATACCTGCCGGAGCTCCTGGCCGAGAAAGACAGCCTGGATTCCTCTTTCACGCACGCCATGAAACTTATTTCTGCAGGTAAGGTATTTTCTATTTACCGAAACAAACCCAGACCGGCTAACGGTAGCATGGCTTGAGGCCTAGCCTTCTTTCTCCTGAACAGACGACACAGGCCCGAACAATGGTGTGATACACACGTGGTTGTAAGGGATGTGGGTCAACACCATTTGATTGGATATGTATCAGATTTGTGATTAATTCATGTGACTTTTACGTAATCCAAATGATAAATATATGTTTTAGGTTGAAAGTAGCGGGCTCGTCCGCGTTGATCACGTTAACACCATATTAAGCTTCAACTCGCCTCATCGACCCATTGTATACACATGCAAGGCACTAACATTGTAAATGTCTCATATATTAATATGGTTCTTGGATTGCAAATAAATGATGGTGGCCGATTGGTCACCTGCTCTATTTCGGTTAAACTATTGGTACATAAATGAGCAAAGATTTGAACGGTTTTGCAGTTTGAAATCAACGGAGATGATTTTTGAACAATGCATTTCTCGTTGTATCACTAGTCGGCCATTGCATCCGTGAAACCCCCATGATTAACATCTTCATATTTTTTTTTCTCTCCTGCAGAGATTGATAGGATTAATAAAGGAGAAACCAAGAAAGAGTCGGAGAAGGAAATCTACCAGGATCTGTTTGCCAACAAGAATCTCAAACTGAAAGAGCGGGTACTCATTCCTACCAAGCAGTACCCTAGGGTAAGTGTCCGATTTCTTTCTTATTTCTGACTTTTTTTATTAACTGACTTTTTATTGAGTGGGGAAGGGTGGGACTAAAAAATGGAAGCAACATATTTAGTTTGTATTCATCTTTGGTCTAATACGTAAAATAGAAGCAGGCATTTATTGCAAGGCGATGGGCCTTAAATATATACATCATTGCACAAACCTGTGGTGTATGTCTGACTTCAGTATCCGATTGTAGAACCATGTCTCCCTCTGGCTTTGCTAACCTAGAATTAGTCCAGTCATGCGGCCAGTGCCCTACTTTTTTCTGCACGATTAATTTTGCATGGGTATAGACTTGTGAAGAGGGGGTTGTGGTTTTTTTTATGCTGACTTTAACGACTAAACCCTCATCAATCACAATAGATTGTACTACCTACCATATTAAACTGTATTCTGCATTTCTCTGGAAATGTTAACAAACCATAGTGCAGTGCTAACATTTCCTTTTTATATTCCTTACAGGTCAACTTTGTTGGTAAGCTCTTGGGACCCCAGGGCAGCACAATCAAGAGACTCCAGGAAGAGACTGGAGCAAAGATTTCAGTTCTGGGTAAAGGTTCCATGAGGGACAAGAATAAGGAAGAAGAGCTGAGGAAGGGCGGTGAGGCCAAATATGCTCACCTGTCCATGGAGCTGCATGTGTTCATCGAGGTGATGGCCCCCATCCCAGAGGCCTACATGCGCATGGCTCATGCCATGGAGGAGGTCAAGAAATTCCTTATTCCGGTATGTGATCATCTCAATTCGGATATCGTTTTTTCTTCCTAAACTTTTGCATTGTAGATGTCCAAGCAATTATTTGTGATGCTCCCCTAGAGGAATGACATAGATAGTTCATTGTTTTTGTCTTGCCTTTAGGAACCCGGTGAGCATGACCCCTTCATGGATCCTCACTTCCTGAACGGATCCCAGGATGGCGGCAGGGGGCGTGGTGGTCACCTAGGAAGAGGCAGAGGCGGACCACCTGGTGCTGGAGGACCAAGGTAGAGGCCTTAATCATAATACCTATGGGACATTTTAGCTGACAGGCGACACTATTCTGCTATTTCTCTATAGCCTCTCTGTTTCGCTAGTTACTTTTGGGTTTCTATGGTTGATCTCATTTTTTAAAACATGGCTTTCCACAGGGGGCGAGGAATGCCACGTGGGGGACCTCGAGGAGCAATGCGTGGTGGCGGACCACGGGGAGGAGGAATGGGAAGGGGCAACGGTCATAGAGGTGCACCGTCTGGCAGGGGTGGCCCTCCTGCTGTGCCAAACAGAGGAGGCTCAGCGCCCCGCTCTAGGCCCCCAACAGGAGGTGCTCAAAGGATGCTCCCCTCTTCAGCCATGTCCCACCAGCAGGGCCCTGCTTCATCACAGCCCAAAGCTGAAGGCTATGAGGACTATGTAAGTAGTTTGAATCCTTTTCACATGGCGTGCCTTTTTAATAGCTGGTACAGATCTCCCTGGTTGCAGTGTGGTTTTTGTCTATACTGTTGTGACTCACTTGTCAATGTATTTTTTTTTTTTTTTCTTTTAGCCTTCATATGATGAGACCTTTGCAGAAGCTGCCTACGAGGGATATGATAATTATTATAATCAGCAGTCTGCACCTGCGTAAGTCCTTAAGTTAGTTGACTTTATCTGCACATTAAAATTATGTCAATTATAGGATTACTGTATTGACACTTCTTTACTGCCTATAGGGATACTGAATATTATGATTACGGACACGGAGAGGCACAGGATACCCCATATGAGCCATATGGTAAGAGTAGCTTCCATTTTGTCTGTCCTTGTAGCACACACTCACTAAGGATACGTGTGGAGCACTGATCGGACCTTCTGTGTGCCTCACTGATGTTTGGTTTTGTTTCTTATTTCTGTCTTTGCAGCTCAAGATGAAGGGTGGGAAAACTCATGGAACAACTCCGGGGCTGGAGGCAAATCCACCGCGGCCCGGCAAACGAAGGGATCCTTCAGAGAGCACCCCTATGGCAGATACTGAACGGCTACTGGTAGAGAGTTGTTATGGCAACTGTCTCCGATTGTAACTCCCTGAACTTTTCTAAAGTAATTTCCCTCTCGTTTGTTCCCTTTTTTTTTTAATATTGTTTTATTTTTTTATTTTTTAACTCGATAGACGTTTTGTTGGATGTATGATAGCGTGCCAGAGGAGAAACATGGAGACAAACTTTTTCATTGTTTATCTGTTTCCATTAATGTTTTCAGTTGCGTAGTTGGCAGGTCTTAGTGACATAACCCTAACAAAGCAAAAAGAGTAACATTTTAGTGATATTTGATGGTTATCCTTTCAGTTAATTGTTCCTGAACAAAATATGATTGTGGCGATAAATTATTTACAATTAGGCTGCCTTTAAAAAGTCCTTAAGGACTGGACAAAAATGATCATAATGCTTTTTAATGCCTCAATGTAACTTCACTATAACTATATTTCGTTACAAACTCAAAAAAAACTGAGCCGTTGTGATAATAAACAGAAGTCATATATTTGTTTATACTATAATACAAATCTAGTCTTGTGTGAAGTTGA